TCGTCGAAGATCTTCTCAGTTTGCTTTTTGCGTGTGTCTAACTAATTTGACGTTTGTCCGTTTCTTTTCTTGTTGTAGTGTTGCTAATGTTTCGTAGATTTACGGTATTTCTGCTTTTTAAGTTTTCTCTGTAATGCTGTCACAATTCTAAAATGGTATAAAATTTAGGGTCAATTTGGTTAATAACCAAAAAAAAAATTAAAACATAATAACTAACCAAAAACCCTAAAATTAATTGCTATAATTAGTGTCACATAGGGTGTTTTGCTTTGTTATTATGTTTTCATTTTTTCTTGATTATATTTGCCAATTTCTCCCTTCTTGCATCTTGTTGTTCTCTGCTGCATTATTGGTGTTACTGAGACATTTCCCGAATCTACTTTGTTCTGTTTTGATTCCAGAACGTTGATCATGTCTTGCAGTTTCACTAGCTTGAAATATACTTCTAAGAATCAATGGAATTAAGATATGTAACAATGAAAGATTCGAGACTTTATGTCAGAAACAGAGAGCTAGAGTGGCAGAGATGTATCTTTTGTTTGGTTAGGTAGGTATAATATATGTGAAAAAATTTATTGAAATCTGAAGTTCACATTCAAGAAACAATTGTACTTGTAGGAAGAAATTTCCCATTTTTTTATATTCCTATTTCAAAGATATATATATAATGTAATTATTCTTATAATTTGACCAAAATTAGGGTTAGGAGTTTGCTATCTGATAATATATAAACAGGGAAGTAAGAGCTCGTAAACAAAAATCTCTCGCTCGCGTGTCAACCAGGTTTCGGTATTTTGAGCAATGGACCAAAGCAATCAAACCAAGTGGTCGGAGCTTTGTCCGGATTTGCTGCAATGCGTTTTCGAACGATTGAGTTTCACAAATCTGAAACGAGCTAAATCAGTTTGTGGGTCGTGGAACTCTTGTTCGAGAAGTTGCATCCCCAAGCGAAATCAGATTCCGTGGCTCATACTCTTCCCTCGAGAGAAGGAAACCAATAGCAATAGCAATAGGTGTGTTTTATTCGTTCCAGATGATAAAGACAAAGTTTACAAGACTCGAGATCTCAGTGTTGGCTTAACAGATAGTTATTGCCTTGCGACTCACGGTAGCTGGCTCTTGATGTTTGAGAATTTTTATAGTCTCTACATTCTCAATCCCTTGACGTCAGAGAGGATTGATCTACCACGTGCTCTCTCTCTCTATCGTTGTTGAGAACGTCCGTGGTTATAACCGGGCTTGTCTTTGGGTAGACGACATAACCAAAGATTACCTAGTGGTTTTTACCAAGAAAGGCGATGACACGTGGCGATACGTTCACGATGATATTTACCCTGGAAGGTATTGTCTACAATCACAAGGTCTACACTTACGCTCCCTTTGGTGATCATGTCTATGTTTGGGATTTATCCGGTGATGTCCCACGCCAAGATGGGTACCTTGATACCTTTAATGCTTGTAGTTTCGACCCGTCTTCCTCTTGCTTCATTGCAACCACATCATCTGGACAGATTCTGTTTGTACACTTTTTCGAGCAACACTCGAAATGGCAGTTTCACATCTACAAGTCAAATCCTGTGAGGCCTAATAAATGGGTAAAAGTTGATTCTTTAGGTGATGAGGCTTTGATTTTGGACATTGGTTTCACTGTCGTCGCCAACGATATCTCGGGGATTAAGAGAAACTCCATTTATTTCAGTGGCCGTAACTATGTCATGGAAGATCTTATTCTTGACCATATATATTTGTCTATTATGATCTCACCACCCGAACCGTGGAATGTTTGCCACAATGCGTTTTCTCCTCCATACGCTTCTCTCATGCTCGATGGTTCTTCCCCGGATCTCACCCTTTAATCAATTAGAGTTGTTTCTTCTTCCTAATAGTTTATTCATGTTATGCATATATGTTCATTGTTTTAGACTTGATCACTTCGTATATAGTTAAGACGAACCCAAAAGGAATAAAACAAGAACAATTCTTTCTATTTTTGTTCCTCAAGACCCACCATACATATATATTCCATTAAAGTATGTACATACTGCGATCTTCCTATTTTAGTTGTCTAATTTTAAAATAAACTTTTAAAATGC